GAGTGAGTGGAATTTGCCCCTGTTGCATCAAAGCACCCGGGTAGGTCCAGTGCCTGTGCACTCCAGTTCCTGCCCGCAAAGAGGTCAGGGAAACTTTCCTGCTTCAGAAGCAAAGCTGTAACTCATACTGAGATACCTGGTAGATGTTTGCCAGGTATGCCTGAGAGAATTTTGTGTATTCCTATGTAGCTTGGTTGAGCTGGGTAAGATTTTCAGCATTTACCCTAGCATTTATGGTGAACAAAATCGTATATAAGCAAAGGCAAAATTTGAGTTAGGGTCAAATTGTTCCCTAATGTATCAATTAGGACCAATTTGCATTTTTAAAACAAGCATTATAGCAGAATTGACTTTGCAAGAAAATTCTGACACTGAAGAAAAAGAATCTTAGTCATGTTTTATCCAAATAAAGTAGACAGAAATTATGGGTCCCCACAGCAGTGATAGTGAGGATTTCTGTTGTATTTATACGTTTTATTTAAAAGGCAGAAATCACTCAGTTGATACTAGCCATTATTTAGAGAACTTAAAAGGTGAAGATACTCATGTTACATTAGGTGAAGAACAAACCAGAATGTGAAACTGTATATCCATTATTCTCACAGTTATACAGATAAAAAGCCTAGGGAAAAAAACGGAAAAAGTAAAAGCAATGCTAATAGTGCTTGACTTAGAGTATGGTGAGAATTTCTAATCCTACCTTTCTGTACTTCTTAAATCTTCGATAGTGGGTATACATTACTTTTTAAATGGAGAAGACAATGTTTAAGTTGTATAAAGTTTCTATCTTCATCATATGCAGTAGTTGTAAAAAGTATTAAGAAAAGTCCTGATTAAGCTACATGAATTATAAAACTATAACAACACTGTGAAACACTACAGATATGAAATAAGGCTTAACATCAACATTTTGGCTAAGGTTAATTTTTTCTGACATTCATATCTTGATGTGTCCATGCTCTTTATAAAAACAAAAACTAACAATATTTCCTCTCTTTCTGTTCAGAGAGAATGTGGTAAGAGTTCACTGAACTAAACAAAGCCTTTTCTCTCATCTGTCAAAGACATGCTTGCCCTGGCTGCCACCTGATGAGGCTAACTATTGGATAATGTATGTAAAAGTGCTTTACAAACTACTAAACCTATTAAGGTTACTTGGAGGAGGGAAGAGGGGAGTGCTGAGAACAACTTACTACTTTGCATAAATGTTTCTTAATAAAATAATACTAAATTAAATATATTTGTGAAAACAAAAGCCAGTTAATAACTAACTGAATGATAAAACAGTATCTGTCCTGTTTCCCCTGTTGTTTATTTTATTTAGAGTTGGGATCTCACCATCTCCCAAGCTGGAGTTAGGTGGCATGATCATGTGAGCCTCCCATCTCACATTTCAGTCCCTCTAGTGTAGCTAAAGACTGTAAGTGCTTATGACAGCATCCGACTTAATCTTTTTCTTTTTCTTTCTTTCTTTTTTTTTTTTTGAGATGGAGTCTTGCTGTGTTGACCAAGCTGGTCTCAAATTCCTGGCCCTCAAGCAGTCTTCCCCCCTTAGCCATCTGAGTTGCTGGGATTACAGGCATAAACCACTACACTAACCTCTCCTGTTGTTTATGAACAGTAAGTTCCCATACCCTGGCTAATCCTGCTCTTTATAAGTCCTTAAGACTGTCTTGCCTTCTCTTTTCTTTTTTAAAAGTCTTTAACCAGCGTACTATAAACTTTCCAAATAAAAATTCTGTTAAAAAAATTACACACTGAGGCCAGGTACAGTGGCTCATGCCTGTAATCCCAGTACTTGGGGAGGCAGAGTTGGGAAGGTCACTTGAGTTTGAGACCAGCCTGGGCAACACAGAGAGATCCTGTCTCTACCAAAAAGAAAAAAAAAAAAATTACACACTGAAAAAAAAAAAACTCACAAATTCACAACACTGATCCATCTTTACTAAATCTTTAGTTTCAGAAATTACACAACCCTCACCTCCAAATAGTTCCCTAAAGTTATTTAAACACATTTTATAAGGAAAACCAAGAATATGTAAGACACATTCCACGTAAGTCAATTCAAGTTTTAAAATACAGCATAATTAGACTGGGCATGCAACAAACTCAAGGCTAAAAATATACATTCTTATCTGTGAGAAAAAATTAGGTATTTAATTCATAATTTATAAAAGCATACATTCAAATAAATCTTCTGGGTGTCTGAACCTCCTAATGACTTTAAGAGTTATTTATAACTATATACATATATTTATATATATCTATATATATTTATAAATATATATAGATATATATATAATTTCTCATAAGTTATTTGGCTTACTGAAAACATTTTCTGTTTTCAGATATATATACATATATAAAATCACTTAATATATGATGCCAAGCTTCTTTTACCCTATTCTCCCTTTTCTTCATTCCCATTAGTTAGCAGACAACCTCACTAAGAAACATCTGTTCTCTAGTCATTGCTATAACTTGCTGACAGATTAATGAAAAAATGAACTATTAATGACAGATTAATAAAAATAATGATATAAAGCATAACACATTTCTACTAGTTAAGAGATAATTTCATATATAGATTTTAGGTTTTTGTGGCTTTTTAAGTTTTTGTTAGTGTCTTTTTTTTCTTTCTAGATGGTATTAAAATGGAGGTGGAAACCAATAAAAAAAATGATGAGAAAGTTTAAGATATTTATAACAGTATTAAACAGGGGTAAATCTTTGAAAGCTGAAGAGATGCTTCAAGCCACATGCTCTAGGCTATGAAAATACAAGTATGAAAAGTACAAATTCAGGGAAATGTCACAAGTAATGTTCTCAAAGGTTTCACAAAAATTCGTACCAAAAGAATAATTTTCTTTCAGATTTAACACAATGACATGTAAATAAAGCTTTTGATAGGATTTACAAAATTATTTCCCTCTCGATTCTGAGAACACAAATTTGAAAAGTGTCGTTCATAATTTAAGATTATTATTTAATAAGAACTAAATGTGTAAGATCCATACAACCAACTTGATAAGTTTCCAGAGGTTATCTTCAGTCTCCAAACCAAAAACTTGGTTTGCTAAAAATTTTTTGGTTTGAGAATGTGGTTTAGAACAGGCCACATCAAGTCTATTTCATAATTATTTCTGGAAAAAGAAAAAGGATTTTTTCCAGTTTAAACTATTAATGGTAAGTAAAATTATCAGGCAATGTATACATGTTAAAAAGCTTAAAAAAAAAAAAAAAAACCAGGTTTCATTATACCTACATCAAAATTACCCAGAAATCAAAATAAAAGTAGTAACAGTAGCAAATGTATTGAGTGTTTTTCCATGTGCCAGAAACTATTTCAGACTTACTCACTGTTGCTGATTATCTTAGACTTCTCATCTTTTTCTATGACTAATAAATACTGCAGCCCTTGACAAATATTAAATTTTATTTTTACATAACAGCATAAAAATTAGAGTACTTGTTAGTGTTTTATTTTAGATTAAACAGCTAAAATATTTTAAATTCCAACATACAAACACAAATAGATGAAAATAAAGGGTTTATATGTATAAATCTAGGCAGATGGTCTTACACAGTTAATAAAAATGTGGGTTTCCAGAGTCAGGCTGCCTGAGTTCAAATCCAGATTTTACCGTTGACTAGGTTTATAACCCCAGAAAATTATTCTACTTATTTAACCTCACATCTCTCATCTATAAATGGAAATAAATATTATATCTGCCTTTTAAGATAATCATGAGAATTGAAAGAACTCTATGTAAAGCACTTTGGACACAGTAAATATTCAGTAAGATTTATCATTCTATGATTATTAGCACAAGTATGACCATATGCTTCTGCAATCTTTATGGCCTCAAGAGGGAAGAGGAAGTTAATATCCTAGACACCTCCACTGAAAAACTTCTCGCACCCAATTCTGATTTTCTTCCTATACATATACACTCACAAACACATTCTCTGGTAGAAGTGTTACTCATTGTGTACAGGTGGTACAATGGATTGAACTATGTCCTCCCAAAATTCATATGTTGAAGCCATATCCTCAGTGAGATGGTGTTTAAAGATGGAGCCTTTGGGAGATAACTGGGTTTAAATGAGGTCACAAGGATGAGGCCTTCATGATGTGATTAGTTCCTTTATAAAGAAGGGACCTCAGAAAGCTTACTTTCCCTCTTCGTCCCTTTTTCTCTCTGCCACATGAGGACAAAGTGAAAAAGTGGCTACCTGTAAGGCAGGAAGACAGTCCTCACCAGAACCTGACAATGGTGGACATGTGGCCTCCAGAAATGTGAGAAAATTAATTTCTATTGCTTAAGCCACCAGTCTATGGTATTTTGTAATGGCACTCCAAGCGACCTAGTACAGATGGGTCTACTTGTATTTCCAGTGCTCAATAATATGAGAAACAGCAATTCTAGGCATTTATTTTGTAAATTTCATCAGACCCTTGCAAATTCATGGTGAATTTTCAAAGACTGTTGGCATGTCAGAATAAGCCATGGTCAGGCAGACATTATACTCCTGCTTACAATATAATGTATTTTTAAGAGCACAACAGTAAGGTTTCTTACTTTTATTATTATTATTATTATTATTATTTTGAGATGGAGTTTTCACTCTTGTTACCCAGGCTGGAGTGCAATGGCGCGATCTCGGCTCACGGCAAACTCTGCCTCCTGGGTTCAGGCAATTCTCCTGCCTCAGCCTCCTGAGTAGCTGGGATTACAGGCATGCGCCACATGCCCAGCTAATTTTTGTATTTTCAGTAGAGACGGGGTTTCACCATGTTGACCAGGATGGTCTCGATCTCTTGACCTCGTAATCCACCCGCCTCGTCCTCCCAAAGTGCTGGGATTACAGGCTTGAGCTGCCGAGCCCGGCCGGTTTCTTACTTTTCAATAAGCTGCTTTAAACAGTTCTAGTTAAGTCAATGTCAGACAGATATTACAATCATGTCTATAATATGTTTAAGTCATAAGGATTCTTACCTTTTATATCTGCCTGAAACTGTTCTAGATGGGTCCTGTAAAGTAAAAATAACTATGTATCAGTTTGAGTATGTATGTATACAGTTACTGACTATATAAAATAGCTGATAAAGAATACCTAATTTTGAAAAGATCAATTTGAAGCAATTAATATTTTAAAAAATTCACATTGCTGGTCAAACAAAACAAGAGTCTACATCTGATTTTTCAACCCAAATCAATCACTTTTTAAAAATTACATTTTTAACACAGAAGTATTTTAAAAGCTCAGAAAACGGACAAGGGTGGGGGCATCATTCATCACCCAGTAAGCTTAAATCCTTTTGAAAGTGAAGGGGCATTAAAAAGTACCACCATTATATTCTTTATATATTCCCCTTTGTCTTTTTTATGCCATCAATTTTTCTAAAACTTACAACTCACCATATGCATGTAGCAATTAGTTCTTATTTTTAAAGACTATATATACAGCTAAAAATGAAAAGTGAAAAAGTACATTGCAATATTGTGCTGATTCTAAGCTACTAATAACAAAGATTGCTGAAAGTTCACATTAACCACTGGGGTGGAAAAATTATTACCTTCCAAATAACAAGGCAGTCATTTCTCTGTTCAAACTTTTGACAGTCTAGGTTCTCCAAACACTTTTGTAGTTTCATTTTCATAAAATAGGTCAAAATCAAATGATGTCTTTAAAAATTGACATTAACTTTTTTCCTAATTAATCATAAGGTTCCCAAGAGAGATCCTACAATTAAAGAAGTTCTCATCTGATTAAATTAAAGAATAAGTTACTTTTTTTTCCTTTTTATTTATTTTTTAATTGTACTTTAAGTTCTGGGGTACATGTGCAAAATGTGCAGGTTTGTTACATAGGGGTACACGTGCTGTGGTGGTCTGCTGCATCCATCACCCCGGCATCTACATTAGGTATTTCTCCTAATACTGTCCCTCCTCTAGACCCCCAGCCCCGACAGGTCCCAGTGTGTGAGGTTCCCCTCCCTGTGTCCAGGTGTTCTCATTGTTCAACACCCACTTATGAATGAGAACATGCAGTGTTTGGTTTTCTATTCTTGTGTTAGTTTGCTGAGAATGATGATTTCCAGCTTCATCCATGTCTCTGCAAAGGACATGAACTCCTTTTTTATGACTGCATTGTATTCAATGGTGTATATGGGCCACATTTTCTTTATCCAGTCTATCACTGATGGGCATTTGGGTTGGCTCCAAGTCTTTGCTATTGTGAACAGTAAATATATATGTGCATATGTCTTTATAGTAGAATGATTTATACTCCTTTGGGTATATACTCAGTAATGGGATTGCTGGGTCAAAAGGTATTTCTGGTTCTAGATCCTTGAGGAATCGCCACACTGTCTTCCACAATGGTTGAATAATTTACACTCTCACCAAAAGTATAAAGGTGTTCCTATTTCTCCACATCCTCTCTGGCATTTGCTGTCTCCTGACTTTTTAATGATCACCATTCTAAGTGGCATGATACGGTATCTCATAGTAGTTTTGATTTGCATTTCTCTAATGACCAGTGATGACGAGCTTTTTTTTTTCATGTTTGTTGGCAGCATAAATGTCTCCTTTTTGTCTGTTCACATCCTTCACCCACTTTTTGATGTTTTTTTCTTGTAAATTTTTTTGTAGATTATTAGAGTATTAGCCTTTTGTCGGATAAAAAGATTGCAAAATTTTTCTCCCATTCTGTAGCTTGCCTGTTTTGATGATAGTTTCTTTTGTTGTGCAGTTCTTTAGTTTAATTAGATCCCATTTGTCTATTTTGGCTTCTGTTGCCATTGCTTTTGGTGTTTTCTGCATGAAATCTTTGCCCATGCCTATGTCCTGAATGGTATTGCCTAGATTTTCTGCTAGGGTTTTGATGGTTTCAGGTCTTACATTTAAGTATGTAATCCATATTGAGTTAATTTTTTTAAAAGGTATATGGAAGGGATCCAGTTTCAGCTTTCTGCATATGGCTAGCCAGTTTTCCCAACACCACTGGAAGTTCTGGCCAGGGCAATCAGGCAAGAGAAAGAAATAAAGGGTATTCAATTAGGAAAAGAGAAAGTGAAATTGACTCTATTTGCAGATGGCATGATTGTATATTTAGAAGATCCCATCATCTCATCAGCCCAAAATCTCCTTAAGCTGATAAGCAACTTCAGGAAAGTCTCAGGATACAAAAATCACAATCATTCCTATACACCAATAACAGACAGAGAGCCAAATCATGAGTAAGCTCGCATTCACAATTGCTACAAAGAGAATACCTAAGAGTACAACTTACAAGGAATATGAAGGACCTCTTCAAGGACAACTGCAAACCACTGCTCAAGGAAATAAGAGTGGACACAAACAAATGGAAAAACATTCCATGTTCATGGTTAGGAAGAATCAGTATCATGAAAATGGCCATACTGCCCAAAGTAATTTATAGATTCAATACTATCCCCATCAAACTACCATTGACTTTCTTCATGGAACTGGAATAAATGCATTTAAATTTCATGTGGAATCAAAAAAGAACCCACATAGCCAAGACAATCCTAAGCAAAAAGAACAAAGCTGGTGGCACCATTCTAACTGGCTTCAAACTATATTACAAGGCTACAGTAATCAAAACAGCATGGTACTGGTACCAAAACAGATATATAGACCAATGGAAAAATAAGCTACTTTTAAAAGATAACCAGCTCCAGAGTAAAAGAGTAAATATTGACTGCAGGATGCAATAAAAGACTAGCAATGTGGGGAACCAGTAGATTAAACCATATGATTAAGAGGATGGATCAGATCAAACTTCCAACCAGACAGCCTACTCAGTAGCTAGAAGACTATGGGCTTAACCTCTATCAGTGACTCCTTATCTCTAAAATGGAATAACAGTACCTATTTTATTGGGTTGCTGTGGCGATTCCATGATATAAGTGAGTAAAATTAGCATAATCCCTTCCAAACAGATTTTCAATTTCAATTTGATAGCTAAAACAAACAGAAAACTAACAAGGATACGGAAAAGTGTTTATTTTCTGCATGCAATTTGAATAAGTCTGTCTTAATTTTTCCAAGTCAGTAAATTCCCACTACAGAAGCCTATATCACCTAGTTTAATATAATTTCTTTTCTGAGGCAGAGTCTTGCTCTGTTGCTCAGGCTGGGAGTGCAGTGGCGCCATCTTAGCTCACCACAACCTCCACATCCTGGGTTCAAGCGATTCTCCTGTCTCAGCCTCCCAAGTAGCTGGGACTACATGTATGCGCCACCGTGCCCAGTTAATTTTTTGAATTTTTCAAGAGACGGGGTTTCACTATGTTGGCCAGACTGGTCTCAAACTCCTGACCTTGTGATCCGCCCACCTTGGCCTCCAAAAGTGCTGGGGTTACAGGCATGAGCCACCGTGTCTGGCCCTTAATTTTTTTTTTCTTTGGAACAGAGTCTCGCTCTGTTGCCCAGGCTGGACTGCAGTGGTGTAATCTCGGCTCACCACAGCCTCCGCCTCCTGGGTTCAAGAAATTCTCCTGCCTCAGCCTCCTGAGTAGCTGTGACTACAGGCACACACCACTGTGCCAACCTAATTTTTGTATTTTTAGTAGAGACAGGGTTTCACTATGTTTGCCAGGCTGGTATCCAACTCCTGACCTGGGGATCCGCCCGCCTCAGCCTCCCAAAGTGCTGGGATTATAGGCATGAGCCACCATGCCCGGCCTATAATTTTAATCTCAATTTTACATGTATATGTCTTATTTTCTAAGTAAAACATCAAGTGTCTGGCAGATAGGGACCCTACACTACCAATTCCTTTCTTTGTCCTCCCAAACCCCAGCTCACCTAGTATGCAATAAATATACACTGACAAATAACTTCTTAAGTAATCTGCAGTTACAAAAAAGTACCACTTGGGAAGTAACCAGTTGTAGGAAATAACCAGGTCAAAGAATACTCAAGTGGCTGTATGTGTGGGCTTGACCCCATAAACAGGCTTAGTTCTGGGGAAGCCAAGCCTTGACAGTTGATACAAAGACATTTTAACCCTTTCTGAGCATCAGGTATTCTTACAGCAGGGACAATAACGAAACCTGGCAAGCAAACTTTAAAGAGTTTCTTTTCTGCCTGTCATTAAGCCGGTATCTATTAATCTCTGCTTTTGTACCAAACATGTAAAACAAATCCCCTATATAGACATTTAGATGGTTATTTAAAGTAGAAAGAAATATTAAGCTTATAAAGTAGAAAGAAATATTATACTTTGTGTGTATTCACACAAAGTATATGTTATTAATGTGAGTGATAACAATTCATACAGAAGTTTTCCCAGCTGGGCACAGTGGCTCATGCCTGTAATTCTAACACTTTGGAAGGCTGATGGGGGTGGATCACTTGAGCCCAGGAGGTCAAAATCAGCTTAGGTGAAACTCTTGTCTCTATATAAAACACAAAAATTAGCTGGGTTATGGTAGCATGCACCTATAGTCCCAGCTACTCAGGAGGCTGCGGTGGGGGGACTGCTTGAACTTGGGAGGCAAAGGTTGCAGTGAGCTGAGATGACACTACTATACTCCAGCCTGTGCAAGAGAACGAGATGTTGTCTCAAAAAAAAAAAAAAAAAGTTTTTCCCCTGCCAGTTTCACAAACAGTATTTGGATTAACATTTTGCAAAGAGCTCTTCTTTTATTAAATTCCCTAATACAACCCTATATGAACTAAAACTAAGGCATATAATTTCTGTCTACACATGCATGAAAAAAAAATACCAGATCTCTAAAATAAAGTTCTAAAACATCACATACCATTTCTCTCATATCTCTCTCATTTTGGTTATATTTGAAACTTCTCAGAATATGCCACATCAGCTTGATTGCCCAGATTGCCTTTTACTGAAATGAAGTCAGCAGAATTGCTAAATGAGAGCAACCTTTACTAGATTTACTGATTTGTGAGTTACTGGTATATCAACTGAAATGATATGAATAACTTGGCAACAAACGGTATTCTGGGGCTTAAAACAGACATTTTCTGTAATATGGTAAAACTTAGAGTAACAGAGATTTAGAGGAGAATTTTAACAAAAACAAATGTAAAATGGAGGGCATTTTCAGCAACTCTAAATTGCAGGGGCATTAAAATAATTTCACACTTTGACCCAATCATAAATGACTTAAAAGTCGGTATCAGACAAGTTTTGAGTTAAGCTAACCAGAAGCCATGTAAAAATATCAGATTTCTACATTTCTTTACAGTTGTTTGGTTTCTTTTTTTTTTTAAACATTTAGTCACTTAAAACATACCTCAGTAAGTTTTACACAGTATTTTCCACACTGCTAGCTTGATGCAGTTGATAAAATTAGAACTTCCACATACTAGGATGGTATGAAAGTAATTGCGGTTTTTGCCATTATAGTCATTCCATGCTCATGTCTGAGATTTATAAATAATCAGAATTTAAGCTATACTTATTTGTTGCATATAGCTAATATTTCAATAGTTAAGATTTTGATTCAGACAGACAACATTTAAGTTTATTCTTTATTGGTGGATTTGAATATGGTCTTTTATTAAAGATTATACATCTTGTAGCTAAATGTTATTTTAAAGCGATTCTTGTAATCAAAGTATAAACTTTAGGCCAGGCGCAGTGGCTCACGCCTGTAATCCCAGCACTTTCAGGGGCCAAGGCGGGCAGATAACCTAAGATCAAGAGTTTGAGACCAGCCTGGCCAACGTGGTAAAACCCTGTTCTCTACTAAAAAGACAACAATTAACCAGGCATAGAGGTGGGTGCCTGTAATCCCAGCTACTCGGGAGGCTGAAACAGGAGAATCACATAAACCAAGGAGGCAGAGGTTGCAATGAGATGAGATAGCGCCACTGTACTCTAGCTTGGGTGATAGAGCAAGACTCCATCTCAAATAAAAAAAAAAATTTAACAATAATATGTTCTGCACACTGGATAGATTATATTAGTAAGCTTAGAGACTGGGAGGGGCGGTAGCCTTCTCACAAGTGTTAAAAATGGGCAATTAGAGGTGAAGTTTAAAGTAATTTCTATATCCTGGTCAAAAAGAGAAAACTGGGCATATCTTAAATTAGAAATGTTAGATAGAAAAAACAAAATTAACCTATATGGTACAGTAAAAGAGCCCCTTATAATTTTTTTTAGTTTTATTTTTAATTAACAAATAATAATTATATATATGTATGGTGTACAAAGTGTTATTTGGATTTCAATACATGTATATATTATGGAAGAATCAAATTACAGTAACTAGCATGTCCATCTAAAATATTTTGAATGTCCCCCTCAAATCTCATGTCTCTTGTTGAAATGTAATCTCCAATGTTGGAGGTGGGGCCTGTTGGGGAGGTGACTGGCTCATGGCAGTGGATTTCTCATGAATGGTTTAGCACCAATGAGATCTTGCTAAGAGTTCTGGGACCTGCTCCTTCTCTCTCTTGCTCCTGTTCCTGTCATGTGACATGCCTGCTTCCACTTTGCCTTCCACTATGAGTAGCTTTCTGAGGGCCTCATGAGAAGGTGAGCAGATGTTGGTGCCAGCTTGAACAGCCTGTAGAACTGTGAGGCAATTAAACCTCTTTTTCTTATCAATTACCCAATCTCAGGTATCTCTTTATAGCAATGCAAAGAATAGCCTATACAGAATTACCTTAAATACTTATGACTTCTTTGTTTTTCTTTTCTTTTCTTTGAGACACAGGTTTCTTTTCTTTTTTCTTGAGGCACAACCTGTCACCCAGGTTGGAATGCAGTGGTGTGAACTCAGCTCACTGCAAACTCTGACTCCAAGGTTCAAGTATTTCTCGTGCCTCAGCCTCTTGAGTAGCTGGGATTACAGGTGAGCACCACCATACTCAGCTAATCGTTGTATTTTTAGTAGAGACAGAGTTTCGCATATTGGCCAGGCTGGTCTTAAACCTCTGGCATCAAGTGATTCACCCACTTCGGCCTCCCAAAGTGCTAGGATTACAGGCGTGAGCCACCATACCAGGCTCTTATCACTTGTTTCTGGTGAGAACATTTAAAATACTCTTAGCTATTTTGAAATATACATTATTATGACCTATAATCACCTTGCTGGGCAATAAAACAGAAATTATTCCTCCTATCTAACTGTAACTTTGCACCCATTAATCAGTGCTTCTCCTTTCTCCATCTAGCCTAGCCTCTGGTAATCACCATTCTACTCTCTACTCCTATGAGTTTGACTTTTTTGGATTCACATATAAGTGAGATCATTGCAACAAAATGGATGAGGGTAAAGGACATTATGTTCACTGAAATAAGTCCCTAGTAATTTTAAAGAGGAAAATGCTTGACATTCTAACATGTTAGAACAAGATTCTACACAAATATAAACGTCACCTTACATGTCTTAACTATATTTCTGTAGCCACAAAAATTTCCAGGCAAAGGAACAACTATATAATTATTAGGCACTTTAATAATTACTACTCCATATTAAATAGAGGGGAAAAAATGGAGAAATACAGTAGTCCTTTTTCTCTTATCCAAGCTTTCACTTTCTAGTTTCTGGTACCCATGATCAAGCCTGGTCCAAAAATATTAAATGGAAAACTCGAGAAATAAAACTCACAAACTTTAAATTGTGAGTTGTCCTGACTAGACTGATGAAACCTGGTGCTGTCCTGTTCCATTCTGCCCAGGGCCTGAATTATCCCTTTGTAAAACGTACCCACAGTGTCTATGCTCCTACTTGTTAGTCACTTGGAAGTACCTTGGTTATCAGATTGACTGTTGTGGTATCCCAGTGATCATGTTCAAATAACTTTTTAGTGTTCTTAATAATTACCCCAAAGTACAAAAGCAGTGATGCTGGCAATTCAGATCTGCCAAAGAGAAGCTGTAAAGTGCTTCCTTTAAGCGAGAAGGTGAAAGTTCTCAACTTAATAATAGAAGGAAAAAAAATCATATCCTGAGGTTGCTAAGATTTATGATAAGAACAAATCTTCTATCTATTAAATTGTAAAGAAGGAAAAAGAAATCTGTGCATAGTATATATAGCATTCAGTACTATCTATGATTTCAGGCATCCATTGGAAGTTTCAGAACATAACTCCCATTGATAAAGCGGGACTGCTATACAAGTATCATTGAAACTGCTTATAAAAAGTACAACTGTTAAGACTGGTACTGGGCTTAAAACTTTCAAAGACTAGATCTTCCCCAAACCCCTAAGTCTGTTACACAACTGATTTCAAATATACTTTTTCTGAAATAATCTTTCTTGCAATGGGATGGTTTCTATTACTAAAGGGAAGTGGGAAGATCTATGTAGAGCTGAGAAAATGTTGGTAAAGCACAAACTGTTTTCTGTAAGTTTAAATAAAACATTCTGCTTTACTCAGGCTTATAATGATCAATAAGGAAATCCCTAGGAACACAGTCTTTACAGGTGCAGTGACAGATCAGAACTTGTAACGTATAAACAAGTATAACAGCATAAGTGAAATAAAATCAGACAAATACAAGCCTAGATGAATACAGCAAAGGAATACTGATGTTATTCAAATAACCTAGCAACCAAAGCCCTCAATAAAATTATGGCATAACATGCTAACCGGCCCTCGGGACTAACTTAAAATATCTATATTGGCATGTATAATTTAGTATGATATACTGTTGAAGAATATATATGCAGAATATGACTGCAGAATAAAATTTTTTAATGTATAACTGATAAAGAAAATGAAAAATAAACAAGAGCTTTATCAAATTAACAAAGATTTTTAAAGGAAAAACTCATCCTTCTTCTTCCTTTCCTGAACAATTAAGTGCTAAAGCCATTACATAGGGCAGAGCAACATGGAGAGGAAACACAACGTCTCAGACCAGGGTATCAGAATATGAGAACCTGTCGTAAAGAAGAGCTGCCTGGCATAAAGAATTCAAGTCCAAGCAAATGAAGGAGACTGCCCACATAGCAGAGCTCATGAAGTCTGACCTAAGAAATCAGAGCCTGAGCAGAATAAGGAAGATTTGTACAAAGCAGGGAAGGAAACACTTCATTCCTGAGGCAAGGTCAGAAAGGGAGTCTCATAAAGGGGCAGCCAGAGTGGGATTCTTTTCAGGAGGGTGGCTCAGAAAAGAGTGACAAAACTTTAGAAGGGTAAAGACTGTCTACCCTTCAAGAGGCAACCTGGCATGGGGTATTCTGTGCCAGAGCCCAGGCAGGATAAAGTGAATGTCCACATGGAGTGGCAGTCTGGAATGTAGGTCTCAAAATCTAATCATGTTGAGGAAGGGTCCCCATGGAGGAGAAATCTAACATGAGTTCTCTGAATCTCAGCAGGAACAAAGAGAGGCCCTATGGCAGAACAGCCTGTCAAAAGATGCCCAAGCCAGAAAAGGGTAAAGAGAGTGAAGACATGCTTAAGGGGAGCCCAACATGTGATGTCAGAACCCACTTTGGTAAGGAAGGCACAAGTAGGAGGAAAGATGGCAATGGAAGGTATGTTACCACATACAACTCAAGAATCATAATTGAAAAATTGCCATTAAAATAGTTAGTGACTTCCTGGTATTTTTAAATACTTGCCTGTAGCAGATAGGAACTGCCTGGATCTAGTAAGTTTACAGCTTCATTCTGCATAGTGTTCTGTTGTGTAATTGCATCTTCTCGTTTCCGCTCTTTCTGCCCTGCTTCATCATCTTCATACTCATCTAAGCACTGAAAGAAAAAAAAGAGTTTCCATTTTATTTCCACTATTAATAGACTTTTTCAGTAGTATGTGAAAATATATTTTGATAGCATTAAAGAAATATTTGTGCATTTAGAAATTAGTTTACACGTGTTTTTTTCAGCAACATATACATTTAATTCCTATAAATTATCTGCTTAAAAATTATACTTCCATATTCACACCACTGCCAACAAATCTTTTCCCTAAACTCCAACCACCAGTGACAGAGTTTTCTTAAAGGAAAAGCTCATTCATTCTTTATCATTCATTCAGTAAGTTAACTACGTCTACTCTAAACAAGGCATTCGGCAGAAGGTAACAAAGGATACACTAAAGAAATGAAATTTATACTCTAGTAGGAAAGATAATATATATATAGATAGATAACACTGAAATGCCATTTTCTAGCTTTATATTCTATGAGAATATAAAGGAAGAGTATCTTTATGTGGTGAGTTAGGAAAGACTATAAAAAACTCTTGTAATTTAAAGAATGGTTAAAATTTGGAATTGTAGATACTAAAAAAAAGAATTACACATGTAACAGCATACTGAAAAACTTACAAGAGAGGGTTGCTAAAAAACGGAATCAACACCAGGAATTATCTAACTCTATACTTTTTACATGAAAAAACAAAACAGAAGGAAATCTCTATCCATTATACACATTATGGACTGGGTTATTTGTTTCTTGCAACTGAATACATTCCTAACCAATACGATGCCCTAAAGGTTTCTGTAAGAGAACCCAGGCCCAATCCCCGACCCCTCTACACTCACAAAAAAAATCCCCAAAAAACAAACAAAAAAACCCCCACCTCTCTGCAGAGACACTAAGGCACTGATCATAGCACAGTATGACAGTATGTCAGTGAAGACAACAGGAATTAAAAAAAAAAAGTGTGCAGAGAGAAAACACTGAAGCCATGGTGCAAACCAGGAAGGTGCACTGGAATATGTGGAGATAGGAGGAACATACTGAAAGGGGTACCAAGCTTGATAAGCAGCATATTCAAAGACAAGGTCTACAATGAAAAACATGGAAGAAAGCATCTGTCTGAGATGGAGTCTTACAACATTAGAATGACAAGGAGAAGAAGTCTGAGGACAGAAATGGAAAGGGCAAATGAAAGGAGCAAGCAGGTTGAGATTCATAGTTCTTCCCCTGAAATGCAACAGACTGCTTATATGGGTGTCACCTGGCCCTTGTAATATCAACCTGTGAAGAATGGGGCTCGGGGAAATAGTACAAGAAAATTATGATTCTGTAGCTACTGTTATTGCTATGACAGTTAGTTCTTGACTCTAACCCAGGATGCACAAACTGACATGCAAGTGGGGTGTGATCTCAAAGCCATCATAGTTTTTGAAGAGGTGATGACTGGAAAGGCACAGACGGAACATAAATAACAGATAACCCAAGAGGTTTAGACTCACTCCATAGCTTGAAAAGATGTTACAATGCTATACAATTCCTTGGGATAAGAGCAAAATGATCAAAAATTTTTGGGGGAAGAACCTGGGTATAGCAATGCAGAGTACAGGAGCAGGGAATTAAAGTGAAAAGACTAGTTAAACAACATAATAGGCAATTTCATCCTATGAAATATGATGTATCCTACACGGAAACAGAGTCAATGAAAGAAATCTAGTACAGGGCATTAAAGTGTTAAGAAATTAGTCCTCATTAAAAAAAAAAAAATCTCTCTTAGAACTTTTTCAAAAACTTTCTCAAATCAATAGACAATATCATGTTTGATGACAATATACCAGCAAAATTTAAAAGTAAAATCAGTCAAGGCATTGATATCCACCATCAACATAATTATTAACATCATTCTGAAGTGCTAGTTGACAAAACTAGGTAAGAATAGATTTTAACATTAGAAAGGAGGCAAAACTAACATCATTTTAGAAGTAGTTATTTTCGCAAAAAACAAAAATATTTTAGAATTATGAGTTAAGATTTTTTTCAGTAAATATGCAAAAATTTCCCAAAGTAACATCAACAGCCAGTTACAAACTTTTTAGTAACAACCATAAAAATAAACTAAAAAAACAGAGTACGTGTATGAAAAAGCTATAAAACTTTACTGAATAATACAAATTAAAACCTACTCTTAAATTAAGAAAATCCTAGTATTGGCCGGGCGCAGTGGCTCATGCCTGTAATCCCAGCACTTTGGCAGGCCAAGGCGGGCGGATCACGAGGTCAAGAGATTGAGACCATCCTGGCCAACATGGTGAAACCCCGTCTCTACAAAAAATACAAAATAAAATTAGCTGGGTGTGGTGGCAAGTGCCTGTAGTCCAGCTACTTGGGAGGCTGAGGCAGGAGAATTGCTTGAAACCGGAAAACGGAAGTTGCAGTGAGCTGGGATCCTGCCACTCTACTCCCAACCTGGCAATAGAGTGAGACTCCGTCTCAACCAAAAAAAAAAAAAAGGAAAAAAAAAAATTCTAGTATTGTGAAGGTGTCAAAAACATCTTAACATATAAATTTAAATTCCGATCAAAATCATGATTAAATTTATTTGGAAAGTAGGGGTCCATCATCTGGAAGAATAAATACATAAGATATCAAAAAATTACTTTTATAAAGAAAAGATATGGCCTAATGCTCTAGTTAACATTAAAATGTATAAAACTACAATTATAAAAATACGTGATAGAGGTTCTAGAACAGAAAGGATAAAACAGGACACAAGGCACTTTAAATCAAGAATTTCCTTAAAGAAGTGGGGGGAGGTCAATCACTTCATGAACAGTAGCGGAGGCAAAAGTATAAGATCTGGAAAATAAAGAATGGTCTCATCTCTAGTCTTCTACTCTGTGAAAGCAGTCATCACTCATTCTCCAGCATATGGACTCAAAAATCCCTCACCATGGGATCCAACATCATTAGCTTAAAGTTAGAATTCTTAAATTGTCACAGATTAGTATAAACAGAAAGTAAAGTTGAGGCAGATAACCATGAACTCCCAGAGCACTGGGAAGCTATTTTACTTATCTTTGTTTTCATTTTCTGAGACCCAGCCTCACAACACTAACTTTCCCTTCTCCTACCCCTTCAACAAATATAGACTCCCTTACAAGCACATTAAAAGAAAAAAGGAAGGAACAAAACACTCAGTAAATGTTTCATAAAAGAATGAATGTATTACCAAGATGAGACATATCATCTTAGAGATTAACTGGGAGATGAACTGTGACATCTCAAATTATAATTCGGAATGCTCTTTCTCATGGCAACACTGTTATTCATTGACCTGGGAACCTATTCATCACACATAGTATCCCTGTGGATACAGTATGTATCTAACATTCCAGACAGCTTTTAGTATAGGGATTACTTGATGAATCACAACTTCCCTCCAAAATTTTGTTAGCAACCACTACAGTTCTTTTAGTGACAAGCATCCTAGAAATTCTTAAGCAATCTATTTTAACTGGAATAAATACCTTTGGAGGAAGAAGTTGGTGGAAATCATGAGAAATAAGAGAATTCCTGTATCTGCTATACCTAAGAGAATATGTGGATTCTCCTCATTCCTGTCTTCAACTGCACAGTAATTTTATTAAGTAGATGCCCCTACCATATTTTAATCAGGGCTTTATTGATGAACATTTGGGTTTTTTACACTGTCTAAGAAACCCATGTTACAAAGTCTTATATATAGATAGTTTCTGCATATATGCAATGGATTCCTGGATAGATTATTAGCATTAGGATTGCTGGCTCAAAAGGCAAATAAATATGTCAATTTGGCAGGTACTTCCAACCTCCACTCAATAGGGACTGTATCATTTTAAGTTTCCTTCAGCATGACATTACCTGTTCTCCCAACAGAGTTTTCATATTTTGCAGTTTTTGCCAATATAATAAGCGGAAAAGTTATCTTGGTGTAATTTTCGCAGCTGTTGCTATGGTTAAGAGTCATTTAAATTTCTTTTGAGGTCTCTCTTTACTTTTCCATTTCTCTATAGGTTAATCTTTTCTTTTTCAGTTGTTTATATATTAAGAGTATATAAATTAAAGTGACCTGTGAAACAGTATCAAGCAGTCTAACACATGTATAATTGGTATCTCAGAAGGAAATGAGAGAGAAATAAGCAGAAAAAAGCAATTGAAGAAATAATGGCTGAATTTTATCCAAATCTGATGAAAATTATAAACACACAGATGCAAGCTCAACAAGTCCAAAAAGAATAAGCAAAAAGAAACCACACATATATTATAATCAAATTTTTTTAAAAAAAGAGAGAAAATCTTAGAAGTAACAGAGGAAGAATTAAAAAACTAAATATTTAAATTAAAAAAGAGGGGTGAAAGCAGATTATATGCTAAAGCATATAAGAAAAACAAAGTATGAAGAATTAAAGTGAACTTACCAACAGAAATTATACAAGCCAGAAAACAATGAAATGACAACGTTTAAGTATTAGAAAGAAAAATTTGTCAAATGAAGGTTCTAAATGCAGTAAAATGTTTCAAAAAGAAAAGAAAAATAAAGACTTTTACAAAGAACAAACACTGAGCAGCAGACCTTCAGTATAAAAAAAAAGGTTAAGTGAAATTTCTCTGGAAAAGAAAAGGATACCACAAGGAAATCTGAAACTGCTCAAAGGAATGAAGAACATCCAAAATACATGAATAAATATAAGAAACTGTTATTTCTTATTATTTGGTAATCTCCTTAATATATAAGTGATTATTTAAAGAAAAAATAATAATGACATTTGTGAAATTTATAACACATGGAAAGGTAAAATGTATGGCAATGGCACAAAGGCAGGAAATAGAAGTATACTAGTGTAAGGTTCTTACACTATACATGGCAGTATAATATTACATGAAAGTAGACTGTGATAAGTTAAAAGATATGTATCTTACAAAAACTGAGCAGCAGACCTTCAGTATAAAAAAAAGGTTAAAGTTTTGGAAATCTGGAACCACTCAAAGGCATGAAGAACATCCAAAATGATA